CCTCCATCCTCTCAGCTACAAAATGGGGACAAGGACGCCCCGTAGCACTGTGCGTGTCTTCAGAGACGGTACATGGGGTTTTCTTCACAATTAATACGTGCTCAAAATAGCGTATCTTTTGAAGTCACCAAGATCTGAAAAACGGAAGTTCTCATGTATGTTTGGATCCAGATTTTCATGACCAAACTTGACTTCATGTGATGGAAGTCTACTTAGAGCCTTGATTTACCGCAGCGGTGTGACCAGACACGGATCGAGCTGTTTGGCATAGGGTGGCGGTTTGCAGGTGCACTGGGAGTGACACATAATAGTGACAGGTGCCCAGGGCACTATGGTATTTTTCTGGATTCCAAGCACGTTTGGCCCCCGGGGTTCTGGGTAGGACACTGCAGACCACAGTAGCCAACGCTCCGGGGCGCTCCCTGCGCGCGTTCAGTATCTTACGTAATCCACATAGATTCTGGAGGGAGGCGCCCCTGGACACCCATTTTTCTGACGAGAAGCGCGAGGCTCAGAGGGAGCTAGGCCAAAGGGCAGAGCGGGATTCGGGGGAGCCCGGGGCGGGGGTTCGGGGGCCTGCTGCGCTCGGGGGGAGGGGGCCACGGGGACGCGCTGACCTTGTCTCGGATCTGCTGCCGGACCTTCTCGCGCTCCGCCTCCATGCGCGCGTGCTTGGCCTTGCGCTCCTCCTCCTGCTGCCGCAGCGCCTCCTGCCGCTCCTCCTCCTTCTTCTGCGCGTCGGGGTCCTTCTCCTCCTCTCCCCCCAGCATCTTCCCCATGTCCTTGGTGGCCCCTGCAGGGGAGGGTTTGGGAGGGAGAAGGCGGGGTCAGGGGTCCAGGGCTGGGGATAGAGGGGCTTGGTGCGCTGAGGCCCTGTCCCACCTGGGTCGGGACCCCGGCCTCACCTCCGAGGGCCTGCTTCATGACGAAGTCCATGCCTGCAGCTCTGGTTAGTGCTCACCGGCCCGCAGCTGAATTTGCATGCAGTGCTCCCGGGAGGCCTGGCTCTGGAAAGGTGCCAACCTGCAGAAGAGGAGTTAGGGGTCAGATGGAAGAGACCTCTGCAGCCGCAGGGCGCACGTGGCCTTATTCTGGTTCAGGCAGTGGACACCATTAGTCTGAGGCCAGACCCAGGGCTCTGGTCCTGAGGGGGAGATGGGAAGGCCTCTTTCTTGAGCACCTGCTATGTGCTGGGCACATGTGTGCTGCCAGACGGCTTCCGATCCCAGTTTTAAAACCATCTTGACGGTATCGCCTGAATTCGATTGAAGTCAGAAGTCTTGGAAAGAGCCGGTGACTGGAATTCAGGCACAGCAGGGTTCTAATGCCGCCCTCTTTCCTTATTTGCCATGTGACTTTCATGCAAGTTACCGAACTTCCTCGAGCCCCTTTCCTCCTCTCTAAGGTAGATGTGGCAGTGCCTCCTTTCCCAGAGTTCCCGTGGAGACTGGAGAGAATTCCAGCCCCGGCCACTGGACCGGCCCCTGGATGGAATGAGCATGTGCCCAGGGCCCCGGGCGATCAGAGGCGGGTGGAGAAATGAGAACAGCTAGCTTGGATGAAAACATCCAGACCTCTGAAATTAGACAAATGGAGAACTAAATTATTTTTCTTGCCGCATACATGTACTATCGATTTTTATTTTGAATTACGCAGGGGAGTTAGAGACACGGTAATAATCTTCTTGGAGCACGGGCCTTGTAAGTGCCCAGTTTATGTTAGTCCTCTTTCTCCTCTCCTTAAATCACTGACTTTCAGTTTTTATTATTTTTTTTTATTGTTATTATTTAGCCTCAGAAGATTTTCTTCAAATAAAATCTTAATGGGAATCTCAATACGTAAAGTCTGGAAAAGTGGAATGGTTGCAGGGGGGTGGTGGGGGCAGAGCTCCTGGAGCCTCCCTTTGCCCTTGGCCTCCTTCTTACCCTGTTTCCCCCACATCCCTGAGAATTCGAACCCCGATGCTCCAACTCCGAGATTTCCTTGTTATTGTAGTCATTCGGTTTCACCGGTTCGTTCATAGGCAGAGCCACCACAAATCCCCTCCTGGATGTGGATGGGACATCTCTGAGCTGTCCAAAGTGTGCCGTGGCTTGATGGTCAGCTGAGGCCAGATCGACTCCCCAAAGCCTTTCATCCCACACAGCCTTGGGGTCTTCGTAATTTGCTAGGAGGAAATAGGGGTCCTGGGAAACGGTGGCAGACAAGCCAGGCCGGATATTGCAAGCAGGCTGAGTTCAAGGTCACTGGCTGTTTGTTGACGATGGCTTTTCTTTATTTCTTTCAAAATGAGAAAACGTATCAGCAAACTGCGATCCTTCCATAATGGGGCCTGACAGTTTTTTTGAGGCTATCTACATGATCAGACCCTCTGATAAGTTGTTTTGAGGCGAGAAAGTCATAATGGAGTAGAAAAAAAGTCCCCACAGGCTTTGGCATGAGACAAGCCTGCTCGGAGATCCTGGCTCCAGGACTCACTGGCCCCCTGGGAAAGCTTCCGTGTGTTCCCTGCGAAGCGGGAGCATATTAAGTCTACCCTTCTACTGACGTTTGAAGGAAAGATAGCGCTCAGGCGCTTGGTGTGTAGCAGGAGCTTATTAACGTTAGCCTGTCGCTGACTGCACTTTGATGAGAACACGCCCAAACTGAGTGGCATTTCCAGGAAATGCAGGAGAACCCACCCTGACCTAGAATTCTGTGTTTGAAGGCTGCTGTGCTCAATCAAGATGTTTTCATTTGATTCAAAACATTGTAAAGAGACTGCATTTCTAAGAACAGGAAAAGAACAATTTAAACATCGAATGTTTTCAGGAACTATTGGGTTCCTCCTCTGTGTTTACATGCAGCTCCAGGAACTGCCAGGTGGTGGTGGAGGACGCAGGACTCTAATTTGAGATGTTTCAAATTGGTCGACAGGGCACCTGGGCTTTAGTTCCAGACTCATCCCTGACTCGCGGCTCTGGCAAGTCTCTCCCGGACTAGCCATCCTTCTGCGTTCTTTCGCCGCTGCTTCTGGAGGGGCGGTTCTGTGGCATCTGAACTACTGGCCACCCCACCGTGTCCTCACACCTGTCTGTGACTCTGTTCTGTCCTCTCTCCCATCTCCTCCTGCTCTCTCTCCTACTCTCCCCGCCCCCCACCCCCGTTTCCCAGCTTCTCCTTTACCTCTCTTTTTCTCTCCTTTGCCGACTTCTCTTCTTTCTCTCATCAATTCAGTGATCGTGTTCCCAGGACTCTGACCTCAGCCCCTGCCTCTTTCTCCTCTCTAACCTTTCCCTGGGGGAAAAGCATCCTTTCTAGGGGCTTTAATGACCGACACTGATGACACCTAGACATTTTACTTGGGCTCCAGACCCCTGTATTCCTTCATCTAACAAATATTTATTGAGCCGCTGCTATATCAGGCAGTATGTTAGGCATTGGGGGTGTGACGGTGAACAAGACAAAGTCCTGCTCTCGTGCCGATTACGTTCTGAGTGTGTATGCAGTGCGACTGTGCGTGTGCGTGCACGCGCATGTGCTGGGAAATAGGCAATAAGCAAGTCAGAAATACACTTGCCTTGCCTTTTGCACACCTGCCCCTGGATGTCCCACAGGCACTCCTCAACCTCAACATGCCGTCCCTTTGTCATCAAACTGCCTCCTTCTCCAGACGCCTCTGCTTCCATGCAGTCCTCCAGCAAACACCGATCATCACCCTCAAAACCCCAATACGCAAGGTGTATCTGCTCAAGGGCTGAGTCTCCATGATGCTTCTGTTCCTGTCACTCTAGGTGGCTCCGACTCCAGGCCTGCTGGGAGTATTTAGTCAGGCTTCTTGGGTCCACCCCAGAGTCCTGCTGCCCACTGTCATCAGCATGGCCCTCAGCTGCTAAGCAATTTCTTGTTTGCCCTGTCAAGAACCCCCTAACCAGGTTCTCAAGGCCCAGCGTACTCCTGCCCCATGCCCCTCAGCAGGGGACTTTCCTCCCACTTCCTGTGGTGTAGCGGAGGGTTCTGGAGCTCTGGGGTCCAGCAGACCTGACTCACATCCTCAGTCTGCTGCTTTTTAGCTGTGTGGTAGCAAGTAATCGACTTAACCACTCTGGGTCTCAGTTGTCTTTGCCAAGTGAGGATTACAATAACACTTTGAAGGGCTAGGAATCCTCTATGGAATGTGTTTGGCACATGATGGGGGCTCAGTAAGTGGTCGCTATCATCATTATCAAAATTATTAATGTCAGCAAGTGTAAGCTCCCGTGACCTCCCCACCTCTTGGGTTCGTGCCCAGCCGGGGGAAGAGGACCCTCCTCCCTGCCGAAGCCCATCCATCTGCCTTCCCCGCAGGCCCTCTCCTTCACCCGCCCCTTCATCCATTCATCGCTCCGCCTTCCTCACATCTTCAGCCTCTTTTCCGTAGGTCTCTTTTCTCCCCCTCCTGCTCCAGCCCCTGCCCTGAAGCCACTTTTCCCTTAATCTCTGCCCTCTAACTTCCTGGCGAAGGGATCTCCGCTCGGAGTCTCCACTTCATCTCCCAGTTGAGCCCTACGGCTCAGGGAGATCAGAGATTCGCTGCCTCTGCACTGCCCCCCAAACTGCCCTGGTCAGAGCTGCCAGAGGCCTCCTAAACGTCAGACCCAGGAGCGTCTTCACAGCCCTCCTCGTCCTGCATCCCTCAGTGGCATCAGGTGCCCACGATGGCCCTGGACCCCACCCCTACCGCACGTTTCCCTGCCATCTTCTCGAGCCTCCTGAATTTTATGACAACACCCTTGTGGTCTTCGTCCTACTTGGATAGGTCTTTTCTCTATCCTTCACGGCTCCTTTCCTTTAAAATGTTGCTGTCCCTTAAGCGATCTCTCCTCCTCCTCCTCCTCCTCCCACTGCCCCTCCCTCCCCCACTGTCTCTCTTGGGAATCTCACCTGCCTGTATTGGTTTATGCCCTTCTTTAGCCACAGATCTCGATGGCTCTCTCTCTCTCTCTCTCTCTCTCTCTCTCTGTCTCTCTGTCTCTCTCTCTCTCTTTCTCTCTCTGTCTCTCTCTATTTCCTTTCATCTGACACAGTAATACCTCTCTCTCTCTCTTCCTCCTCCTCCGTCCCTCTACCCGCTTCCCCAAACCCTCACATTTAAGTCTCTGCTGGATATTGTCACATGGATAATCTCAGTGCAACCTGTCCCAGGAGCAGTGTCTTCCTGCCTCCCCCACCCAACCATCTCTCCCTCCAGCACGCCTTATTCCAGTTGCCTCAGCTGAAGATTCCAGTCCGTGAATTCTTCACTCGCTCACTCACACTACAAATATTCTTTGAGCATCTGCTCTCTGCCAGGCATCGTTCTGGGTGCCGAGGCCGTGGCAGAGCACAAGGAAGTCCCAGCGTTTGCTCTCACAGGATGCAGTTGGCTGGGGAGGCAGACATTGGACAAAGGCCACACAAAAAATTGGTGCATTACAGTCGGGATGGGGTGCTGAGGGAGAAGTCCAGAAACTGTAGCTTCACGAAGCTGTGTGCACACTCTGCTTTCCTATGGCTGCTAACACCTTGCCTCAGGGCCTCAAGGTCCTGGATTGGTGTACAACCTTAAGCTCTTCCCCCTCCCCCCAGCTCTCATCCATCCTCCACATGGCCGACGATTAATCTTCCTAAAGGGCAGACCTGCTCATGCAAACACACCCTGAAACGGCTCCACGTGGCCTTGTTCAACCGACCACAGTCCTTGTGCTGACCTTCAAGTCCTGCACGGTCTAGCACCTGCCCGCCTTGCCATTCATTTTCCACATCCTGTGCCTGGCTCTGCCTCGGCCATACCCCAACACATATTCTTTCCAAACCCCTGGCCATTTGTTCGTGCTGTTTCCACAGCCTCGAAACCTCTTAACCTCATCTCTGCCAGTTCAGATCCTGGCTCCACTACTTACTAAGTGACCTTGAGCAAGTGACTTAATCTTTCTCATCTGTAAAATGGAGACAGTAACACCTGTGCCCAAGGCATCTTGCCAGCATTAAATGAGATAATGCAGATAAAAGGCTCAGCTCAGTGT